CTGCTGATCCCAGTGTTCGTTTCTGGGTCACTTTCTATTGACTGCTTCTTTTTATTTTTTTATTTTTATTTTTTTATTTTTTTTACATTTTTATTGATTCATAATCATTTTACAGTGTTGTGTCAAATTCCAGTGACTGCTTCTTTTTATTGTGGTCACTTTTTCATCCTTGTAATTCTAGTAATTTTTTTAATTCCTGTTGGATATATTGTAGATTTTTACATTATTGAGTGTCTGGATTTTGTTACCTTCTTTTAAAGAGTGTTAAGCTTTGTGCTGGCTGGTAGCTTGATCCTTTCAAGGCTTTCCTTATGCTTTGTTAGGGGACGTCTAGAGTAGTTTTTATTCTAGTAGAACTTGACACTGCTTCCAAGGAACAGCTTTTTAGAGGTTTCTACTGAATACCTCTCCTGAACAACAAGGAGTTTTTTCCACTCAAGCCGGTTAGAGCTTCAAAGTCCCTTACTCTGTGTGAGCTCTGGGAATTGCCCGGCCTGCAGCTTTTCAGCCGTTCTTTGTTCAGCCTGCGTGTAAATGACTTGGTATTCAGGAAAAGACTCGAGGGGGTCCCATGCAGATTTCTAGTGTTCTGTTTCTGCATGGGTGCCTCCTCTCTTTGTCGCTGCCCTGTGGCTTCTCATCAGCTCATCTTTTCTGTACTTTTTTATCTTTGTCTCCTTAACACGGTGAGACTGTCCTGATCTCCCCCTCCCTGCTCGGTACTCAGATACTCAGTACATGTACCTTCAAGTACTCCTCTCACTGGTTTATTTTTTCTTAGGAGTCATTTTTTTGCATTGCTGGTTGTTCAATGTCTGAAAACAGTTGTTTTTATATATTTTGACTCATTATTTACAAAGTCCTTGAAATTCAAGATGGCAGAGGAGAAAGTCCACTAGATTACATCATAGTTAAATTAAAATTTTCAGCCAGATTTTCCAACAGAGAATGAAAAGTGTTTCCCAAATGTATCTTCTGGGTCTTTTACAAATTGAGTGTTATTTACTTATTTTCTGTTTATGCAAGTTATATTTTCAAAGTTGCAAGAGTGTGGAATATAATAGTAGAAATAGTACCTTGAATGGGTAACAGCTTCTTGCCAAAAATATCAGAACAATAAAAATTAACATTCTTACTATTTTTCAGTGTAGAAGGGCTGGGTATTATTATCTCTGATTTTTCTCTTATGAGAATCACCTTCTTAGTTGGGTTTTATTCTTTCATTTTTATAACGTAATTTGCCTATGTGTTTCTTTCGGAAATCTCTGATATGCTGTTTTCCTCCCTTTTATTTCTCGTCTGTCTCATTTCTCTTTGTGTCAGCCGGTGATATTTCTTTCTTGCTTCAAACCTAGTTTATTCATGACAAATTCCTGCAGAGGGAGTTGGTCATTTATATATTGGACAGTAGTGCTTGCTGATAAACAATTCAGTTACTAAGTGCACCTAGCAAAATATAGTTTTGAAAAGTGCATATTAGATTAACACTTTACTTTTCTTCATCAGAAGTAACATTTGGCTTTGTTAACTTTCAATTCAGAATAAGTGCAACACAAGCAGTAATAATACTGACAAAGATAATTATTACTACTAAATATAATCAGCAATACTTTGAAGTAAATACTATTATCATCCCCACTTTAGAGATGGGAAGAATGAGGCAAAGAGGGTTTGTGACCTGCTGATGATTCTATAGCTGAAAGTGATAGAACCAGGAATTGAATCCAAGTCTTCTGGCTCCTGGTTAGGCTCTTAAGCATTTTGCTGTCCCACCAGAACTGTATCTTATACTGCTTCTTTGTAGTGACATAAACACTGCATCTCCTTACACTGATTTCAGATAGTTCCCAAATCCTAAGTAGTTGTCTGAGTTTATTGTCATACCCTCCCATATCTCCTCTCTCCTTGTTTATCGTCTTTACTTAAACAAAACTAATCTCCAAGGTACTAAAATTCAATGATTCCTGCCTAGACTATTAGAATCTTAATCATTTGACATTGGTCCTAGCGCCTAGAATTTGTCTAATACAAAGTAATTTCTCAGTAACTGTTTTGTGAATTTAATTATATCTACTGATACTTAGAAAACCCCTGGAAGAGGAACAAAGGTGAGCCTCTCAGCCTCAGAATATAGATATTGACATACTTAACCAACTCCCCTAGCTTATCCACCTAAGTTACAGTGCCCATGCTGCTCCACTCTTGTGTCCCTGTGAACTAAAATGGAGATATTTATGTAAGTAGTCTCACGGGAAGCATCTCTAACTTACTCATTTTCATACTTTCTTTGTTAATTACACTCAAGTTGTCCCTCTATTCTAAGAGAAGACTGAAAGACAGTCATTCCAGAAGCAGACTCTGTAGTACCTCCTGTAGTCTTTCTCCCATCAGGCCATCCTGTCTCTGAATGTGATCTACTTTCTGAGATACAAATAGGATTATGTTTATTTCTAGAATGATAAGTTTCATACTGAAAAGGCCATTCTTGTCTACAGCCCACGGCCCACTTCAGTCTCAGTCAATCCTTTGACTGAAGGGCTACAAACAACAAATTAAAAATGGATGAAGAGGTCCTGGCCGGGTAGTCCCTGCCCGCTTTCACCACAAGTAGTCTCATGGCATCATGTTGACGTGGACACTTTTTCCTTCTGCTGCAAAGCCGTTGAGATATAAGTTGGGACTTGAGCTGAGAAGTGCCCAGGAATGGGAAACAGTAGAAGTCAGATAAGGCTAGTATTTACCTGAGGGAGGGGTCAGAGACAACTTTCCATGAGTGCTGCTCAAGGGTTATAGGAGAGATACCTGTAAAGAGCAAACAAACAAACAAATAAAAAATCAACTTAAAAACGTAAGCAAGATCTAACCTTTTGTTGAGTGTCTCCATTTCACACTAGTGGTGCCTTTTGTAAGCAGTATGAGATTTTTATCTTTAAAAATCAAGTAATTAAAGTTTCTTTTAAAGATATGAAATCCTTTGAACAGCTCTAGAAGTTTTTAGTTGGTTAATAATGCAAAATATTAAAGATGTAAAACTCATAACTATTTGAAAGTGCAAGACACGAAATAAACCTAAATCTTATGGACTGCATTCTCATTAAATCTTTGCCCCCAAAGTATGTTCTTAGAAGTATCTTTATGTTTAAATAAATTATTCTTATGCAGACTTCTTTTGGAAATCAACAATATTTTCTTGAAATTTGACATGCCAGTATGATCCTTGAATTTTTTTAAAACCATTTTCTTCAGAATATTACAGTGATGATTTTGAAGATGAGGAGGATCTTGATGCACCGTTGGCTCCTAAAGAAGAGACTAATTCCAAAGAAAATTCCAAATCAGAAAAAATAAATGTGCCCAAACAGGTATGTGTCAATTATACGTTTGACAGTCTAGAAGCTGCTTTCATCACCTTAGCTGACTGTTGCTGTATGAAGAGCTGTACAGCAGAGTTCTTTATAGTCTTGCTCATTGCTGTAAAGTTACAGGTCTCCTAACTCTCAATTAGATGTGTTCTTAACTCAGGATGTCAATGTAAGTCTGAATGAAATAACATGGCAGTTGGTGATTTTCTAAAGGATTTCTTCTGGCAAGTTTCCTTAAGCTTTAGAAATTGAAAACTTTATGAAGATCTCAAATCTAATTTTTGAGCAGGTATATTAAATTATACTTTTCTTTGGTAGGTCTTAGTCTCATGAAATGCAGTACATACCCTCCTCGGTATTTGTGCTAATAGTGACATTACTCCCTAAAATTTACTTAGCTAAGATTGTGACCTCAGTTATTCTGTTCACACTCATTGTCACTGTACCCTAGTTCTCTCATTTCTCAGTTCCTGCCAAGAACTGGCCACCAAGACTGGCTAAGGGTGCTGCTCCATATTCCCTGCCAGACAGAACTTACCCTTGAAGCTGTCTAGAAGTATCCAGTAGGACAGATCCTTACTATTTGTTGTGTTGGTCTTGACTGTGTGTTAGGACTGGATGTTTTGAACATGTATGAAACCACAGACCCTCTAAATAAAAGCAAGGATCACTTTCTGGGTATTAAGACATGCTCTTGTTTTTTTAATTTGCCTAAAGCTTTGTCCTTGGGTGTCTTTATGTCACTCAGTTTGGGGGAGAAAAGAAGATGGCCTTGGAAGTACATGAAGATTAATGTGATCTGATGATTATTCTTGGAAATTTAATGGGATTCATACTAGGAATATGGCAATTACAGTGTTTTGTATTATGATCATTTCTATTAGAAAAATGAAAGGTTACGCAGAAGGCACACAATAGTTTGGTATATTAAGAAAATCTAGCCTGTGTAAAAACGTGTCAACCTAAATGTGGAAGCCTACTAGAGAGCCATCTGGGTAAAGGTCAAAATAGGAAGGAATTAGAGCTGTGCTGTTACGGGTTGCTCCTACACACGGCCTATCCAAGTGGAGGATATAGGTGACACCAATGAGAAAACTTGCTCTGAAGGAACCTCTAATTTTGACAAATTTCAGCTATTGCTATTTGATGACCTGCCTTTTTGAAGATTTTTGTGTCAAAATGTAGGTGAAACAATGAGTACATGTTCTATTTGATCATTAATTTTGAACAATAGGATAAAGTGATGGGTGATGTTATAATAGCAGGAATCTTACATAATTAGACATCTTATCTTGGAGTTCAAAAAATGGGAGAATTTCTGAGTGAGGCAGATGAACAGATGGGATTTAGATACTTTAATCAAGGCTCATAAAGACTTGAATTATTTCCTGGTAATTGCCTAGATTCTAGAAGTTCTCTCACAGCTACATTCTCTAGTCTTACAGTATTGTTAGTGAGTGAGAGCGATGAGAGAAACCTAGAAAGCACATTTCTTGATCTTTTCATAATGGAGTAAAGCACTGGCTCTCAAATTTTGTTACTGTTTGCATTGTGATTATTTTATATAACTTTGATTTCAAATCATATAATCATCTTCTTTTTTTAACTTAGGAAGAAGAGAAAACTGGCATGCTGGCCAATGGTAAATATTATGTTCATAGATTTTAGTTGACAAAAACTGATCTGTTTAGAATTACATGTAAGTAATTCTGAATAAATTACTATCTTTGTTTTTAAATATCTTTAATGACACAAGTTTGTAAGTCTTCTCAATAACATGTTCTTTACACCTACCTTAAATCCTTCCTGTTGTATTTGAGAATATTTCTTTTTTTAAAAGCCCAGGACCAGATAGATGCCTTTATGGGTAAATTCTACCAAACTTTCAAAGATGAGTTGATATCAGTCCTTGTTAAACTCTCGAAAAATAGAAGAGGGAATTCTTCCAAATTCGTTCTGTAAGGCCAGCATCACCCTGATACAAAAACCAGACAAGACAAATACACCTCAAAAAAGCAATTCCACTAATAGTAGCATCAAAAAGAATAAAATACTTAGGAGAACATTTCATGAAGGAGATAAATTTACATAAAAGTATAAAACATTGATGAAAGAAATTGAAGAACATGCAAATTAATGGAACGATAATCTGTCCTCGTGGATTAGAAGAAATAATACTGTTAAAATGTCCATACTCTCCAAAGTGATCTACAGATTCAATATAGTCCCTATCAAATTCCAGTGACATTTTGCACAGAAATAGAAAAAAAAAATCCTAAAATTTACATGAAACTTCAGAAGACCCCAGATAGCCAAAGCAAGCTTGAGAACGAACAAAGCATGGAGGCATCACATTCCCTGATTTCAGAATATATTACAAAGCTATAGTAACCAAAGCAGTATGGTACTAGCATAAAAACAGACATATAAAACCAGTGAAACAGAATAGCCCAGAAATAAAGCCATATATTGATGGTCATCAGATCTTTAACAGGGGTGCCAAGAATTTACAGTGAGGAAAGATGATCTCTTCAACTCTTCGTGTTCATAACACTAGGCATCCACATACAGAAGAATGAAATTGGACCCTTATCTCACACCACATACAAAAATCTACTCAGAATGGATCAAAGACTTAAATATAAGACTGGAAACTGCAAAACCACTGGAAGAAAACAAAGGAAATAAGCTTCTTGACATTGCACTGGGCAGTAATTTTTTGGATATGATCTCAAAAGCACAGGCAACAGAAGGAAAAACAGACCAATGGGACTGCATGGAACAAAAAAAAATTACTGCATAACAAAGAAAACATCAGAGTGAAAAGGTAGCCTATAAAATGGAAGAGAATAGTCGTAAACCATTTATCTGGTAAAGGGTTCATATCCAAAATACACAGGGAACTCTTTCAACTCAGTAGCCAAAACAAACAAACAAAAAAGCAAAAGTGGGCAAAGGACCTGAATACACACTTCTTAAAAGAAGACATACAAGTGGGCGAACTGGTATGTGAAGAGACAACCTCAGTAGTCATCAGTGAAATGCAGATCAAAACCACAGTGAGCCTCACACCTGTCAGAATGACTTATGAGAGAGGAAAGAAGTTTTGGTGAGAATGTGCAGAAGGGGGAACTCTTGTACACTGTTGGTAGGGATGTAAATTGGTGCAGCCCCTATGGGAAACAGTGTGGAGGCTCCTGAAAAAAATTTTAAAATGGAGCTACCGTATTCAGAATCCCACTTCTGGATATATATCTTGAAGAGATACCTCGTACTCCCATATTTATTGCAGCGTTCCACGATAGCCAAGATACAGATACAACCTACATGTCCACCAGTGGATGAATGGATAAATAAAATGTAGTGTATTTAATATTATGCATGTATACATATGTACAGTGTAATATTTAGCTTTTTAAAAAAAGAGGGAAATCCTTACATTTGTGACAACATGGATGAATGTGGAGGACATTATATTAAGTGAGATAAGGCAGACAAAGAAGGACAAATGCTACATGATCTCACCTATCTATGGAATCTAAAAATGTCAAACTTCTAGAAGCAGAGTAGAATGATAGTTACCAGGGGCTGAGATTAGGGGGTATGGGAAGATGTTGGTTAAGAGGTACAGAGTTTCAGTTACGGGAGATAAATAAGTTATGGAGATCCAGTGTACAACGATGTGACTGTAGTTAATGTTGTAGACTTGAAACTTGCTAAGAGGGGAGATCATAAGTGTTCTCATCCCACACACAAAAAAGGGTAATTACATAAGGTAATGGGTATGTTAAATTAGCTTCGTTGTGATGACAGTTTCACAGTGCACACATTTATCAAATCAACAAGTTATGCATCTTAAATACATAGTTTTTAATTGGCAGTCATACCTCAATAAAGTTAGGGGTCAGGGAAAGAATGTTCTTCTTGCTAATTCTCTCGGGCCTTTTGCCTTTCGCATAAATGTACATTAGACCTGTATGTAAGCATAGATTTATGTTGATGTTAAGCGTGCTCTTTTGTATGTAAAAAGAAAATCATGCTTGTTTTAGATATATGGTTATATATTCTTTACATGTAAATATTTGTCTTTATTTCTATAACAGATTGCATATGGTTTGAGTATTTTACTAACAGAATGGAGCCATACAAACTTGTCTGTATTCCTAATATTTTTTCTTCTGTGTTATTCCAGTAGTGCTGCTTGACTCATTAGACTCTGTTGCAGAGGTCAACCTTGAAGAACAGGATAAAGCAACGGCTAAGCCGAAGGCCTTGCCAGATGTGACTGATAATGAAATGACAGGAACAGGTAAAAGTGAAAAAACTAGTTACTCTCTAAATATGTCAGAGTCTATGGCTAATTGACTTCATTTCTAGGGAAATATATGTAATATATAAAAATAGATATAATAGCTATATCAACAATAAAACCTTACATTTCACATTTTCTGCCTCAATGCTAGTAGGCTGAGTAAAGTGTGTTTTAAAATAAATACTTTTTTAAAAAAATGAGTGAATGCTGTTGGTACAAAGTATAGCACTGTAGATGAATATTAACTAATTTTCTATGCCCCCCAGAATATTCAGTTATGTTTGCCATGTGTAAGACAATTGAGACTTCAGTTTTGGGCTTTTCCATAGTTACCTCTGTATAGGAAAAAAGCTAGCTCACATCCCAAAATTCTGCAATGTCTAGGACCATCTAGGTTTCGCTAAAGGTTGTAAAGGTCTTTAAGACAATGCCTTTTCAGACTATTTTAAAGCAGTGGAATCTTTATCTCCAAATGGAATCTTAGGTAGTACACTCTATATAGATAAAAATGGTATTTTATCAGTATAAATATAAATGTTTACATTTGTGACATTTACTTAAAAAGTTAGTGATAACAGTAATAGCCTATTGAAATTTTTAAAATTAGAAGTTATAGATATTTGTTATATTCTTATATCATCAGGCTTCCAATATATTTGTCTATTTTGTTTTTGTTGTATAATGCGAAAATATTCTTGGTTAATCACATAAATAGGTGCAAATGGGAACTTTTCAACTTGCTTTGCAAATCTCAGTTGACTAGTTTGGTCAACCAAACTAACCCAGACATTTTTCAAATGTTTACATTTGTGACATTAAAAAAAGAGCAATAGAAATAATAAATTACTAGCCAACTCTGAATGTTTGCTTGCATTTTATTTTTGCTATATTTTTTATTTCTTTTTACTTCTTTATTGAGCTGTCATATACTTGTAGAAGAATTCATGTATCATCGTTGTGCAGATGATGAATTTTCAGTTACTGAACACAGCCATGTAACTAGCAACCAGATCAAAAAAACAAAGCATGATCAAAACCACAAAGTCCACTCATACCTCTTATTTCTAGTCACTGCCATTCCAAGAATCACCACTATCTTGTTTGATCCACTTCCATTTTAAAATGTGAATATAAAAATTTTAAAGTTACAACAGAAACTTCCCATCAAGATACATCACTCGTTTACTTGTAACTACCCAGTTGAATATTCCACCACGATGAAAGCATGTGCTCAGTCTTCCTGCTGTTTAAGTATATGTCACAAATGTGCTGTAATAGTCCACTTGCACTGTTCTCAGTAAGCAGATATGAATTCTTTTAAAAGACCAATGTAGAGCTACAGCTTTTTAAATCAATGGTGCATTATAGGAGGTTCATTTATGTACAGGGTGGCCAGAGGAACTTTATTCTATGATGTGTGTGAAAACAAAGCTGGAGGCAAAAGTTATCATGCTGGTGGTCTTCAGAAATATTATAGTTACATAAAAGGCACATTTGAGTGTGCAGATTAATTTCTATTACAGTTTTTATGTTTTAAAATGAAATTTCAATCAGATATCTGTGGAACCCATGACTTTCTCTGAAAACTATTTTATAAAACTCAATATGAAAACCACTGCTATAGATTATAAGAAAAACTCAGAAATAAAAACAGTATTACTGAAATTGGTTCAAGATTTACAGATACTAACTACTATGTATAAAATGGATAAACAACAAATTTTTACTGTATAGCATGGGGAACTATATTCAGTATCTTGTAGTAGCCTATCATGAAAGAGAATATGAAAATGAACATATGTATATATGTATACTGAAACATGCTGTAGACCGGAAAAACTGACACAACATTGTAAACTGACTGTATTTCAATTAAAAGAAAAAGTCAGAAAACTGTATTGCTGAAAGATAAAGTCTGTTAGGATGGTCTGGGCAGTTATATAATGCTAATTGTTTTGGCCTTATTTCTTAAATGTTCTCAGTTCTGAAATAATTTGATGAGTCAGTTACTAGAAGAGTGTAGAGTATGATCTTAATTGCCTTGTGGCCTTGGATCTATATTGCTGGCCTTGCCGGTTAGCAGCTGGGTGACCTTGGACAATTAATGCCTGTAAGCCCGTTTCCTCTTCTCTCAAATGAGACCATATGATGATCAATGAGATAACGTTATAGTGCCTAGTATATTGCTGAGATTCCGCAAGTAGTACCAACTGTATGGTTCCTATTATTTGCATCAACCCTTTATTAACAGTACAGATTATATGAAAGAACCTGAAGGCACACAGTATAAATACCTGTTGGCTATGAGGTATTAAATTTACCTCGTATTTCAAAAATACACTTGAAAAATCTTCAAGTCAGCATCTGAACTTAGTTTAAAAACTGAAAAGATCAGTGGGTGTTTTTTTTTTTTTTTTTTACATGTGTCTTCCAGGATTAAGCAGGCTTGGTTTAGGTGGTATGTTGTCAAAGATTTTCTCATTTTTAATATTATTCATGAAATTCTTTGTGCTTTATTGTCTTTAAAAAGTTGGTAACTGTAAAATGAGAGCCAGATGTAGCCTTTTGCTTGTTTTCGTGTGTCTCACGGGCAGGCACTAATAGTGCTGTGGCCGTGAGACCAGCACAGTCACAGGTTGTGACAGTATTCTCCACATCGGGATCCTTGCCTCTGTACAGTAGGATTTGACTTGTAATAATATACAAAATAATTACACGATGTCTTCTCTTTTTAATGTAAAAGACAGAGAAGTCAGTCCTTTACTTTTCTCTCCGTAAAATGCATGAAAAAAAGTTAGCATACATGACCCTGGAATTATTTTTAATATCAGTTGGGTTAACGACTCAAATTAGGAGAAAAGTACCCTCCCCTTGCTCTGTTGTCTGAGCAGCCCCTGATACCTCTCTATCTTCTTATTATACCTCTCTATTTCTTATTTCTAACTTTTAGGTCATTTGCTTTTCTGCATATTTGCTCTGCTGTTGCTTTAAGCCAGAACCTCTTCTTTCTGACACCTCACACTTGCCAAATTAGGCTGAGTGCTCAGTACTGCTGTACTGCTTACCATTGGGGTCATTTCTTTTATCTAAGCAGATACTTGCACCCTCTGGTATTTCTGTAGAGGAGAAAAAATACCTGTGCCTTTTTTCCTTTCTTCATAAAAATCAGTTCTCTCCTTCAGTCAGGCTACTCTGGGTCTGATCGATGATGGTTTAGGGGGAGAATTAGGCTTACCTTACTTAGCAGGCACAGTCTTTTCCTCAAGTTCTACTGAGTATCCCTGCCGCTTAACTGTTAGTGATTCTCCTCTAATGGTGTCTCCTAGTTTTTTGTTTTTAGTTTATTTAAGCAAACCTGTTCCTTTTTGGGGCATGCTTCAGATAGCAGTGGTGACCTGAAGCATTAGATAGACAGATGGCCCATCGTCAGGCATTCTTACTCAGTCGTATGTGGTACTTGGCCGCCTCTTATGTTTAAAGTTGAAAATAGTCCCTCACAATTTCATACTATGCAACTTACAGATTATACAGAGGAATAGGAGGTTGTATATAGTATTTTATTTTTAGGCATTAATTAATTAGTCATGGGTATCAAGAGAAAAGGAGACTGCTCACCCTATTTCTCTTTTTTTCCCACCCTTCCTCTTTTATTCTTTTCTCTAACTTTGAGAATTCCACTGTTAGTAATGAAAGGTACAAAATGAGTTAAGAAAACACTCCTCAAAATCGTGGATCATTATTGTCATTAGATCCTTAGAATTCTTTTTCCAGAGTTTATTTCTCAGTTGGTGGGAAGAGGAGGAGTTTAATAGGGAAAGAAGAGTGAACGGTGACATCAAATTTTCTATCTTGGATGACTGGGTGAATAGTCATGCCACGGCCAAAACAGCAGATCCTGGGAGTAGAACAGGTTTTGTTGGGGAATATAATTAATTCGCTTGAGGTTGTGTTAGATGTGATTTACTGATGGAACAGTCTGAATGTATGTTTGGAAGTTTAATATTCAGGAAAGAGATAAGGACAAAGGACATAGATTTGCAAGTCACATGCATACAGGTAATAATTAAGCGAAGGGTCTTGATGAAATTATCCAGCCCTCCCCCCAAAAAAGAGAGGTTTTAAAAAGAGGGCTAAAGATAGAGTCCTGAGATGAACAGTGTACCATAAAAGATGGAGAAGTATCCGTCAGGGTGATCAGGAGAAGAAGGCGCTGTAGGGAGGAAACAGTTCCCAGGGAAAGAGGGGTGTCTCATGTCTCACAGGGTGAAGAAAATTAAAACGGTGGAAGAAATTTAAAGGCTGAATTTGGCCACTAGGAAATTACTTTTTTGTTATAGCAGCATTAGCAGAATATTGGAACACATACTGGATTGCAAAGTTAGAGGATTGAATTTCAGTGGAAGAAATGCAGAAGACGACGAGATGCGTGGTGGCATCAGGAGACAGAGAGCAAAAAAAGAGAGGCAGAGGAGAGACAGAATCCTTGAAAAGTTGTGTCAGTTTGAGAAATTTAGGAGTAGTTTTATCCAGTGCAGAGGCAGATTACGGATGGTGGGAAGAGACAGTAACTAGCGGCGTGAGATTTTACAACGACCATGTCAGACACATCTCCGCCTGCTGACAGGGGTTACTGAGCCCACTGTGGTTTCATGCTGGTGGGCCGTGCCACATATTACCAAGGTTTGTATTTCACTCTGTCTTTATCATGTCACGTTGTTCCACAGCCTTGTTCACCATTCCTGGTAGATTAAGGGATGACATTAATGTTATGTTTTCATGTGTTCATGTGGTCATACTAGAGATTAGATTTGTTTCAACAGGTGTATCTTACGGACAGAGCAGCAGTGACATTGAAGCTCTACATCAGGCTTACTGTCACGTAGCCCATTCTTTGGAAGATGCAGATGAACAAAGAACTGAGAGTGATGCAGGGGGAAATACCAAGAGCTCAGCGAAAGATCATCTTCAAGAAAATGAAGGGTCCTCTAAAAACATCTCTACTACAGAATCTGGTAAAAGCTTCTTTGTTTGAGACCCTCTCTGAACAGTTTCCATTATGGTGCAATTTAAATACAGTTCGCTATAGTGATTGTTTCTCAGTCTGTGAATTTAAAGGATTTGTTTAAATGGAATCTGGGAGTCATCGGTTTAACTATAAAATTAGAGCTGAACATAGGATAAAATTTCAGTTCCTCCTGTAATATGTCTTCCCAAATTAAGAAATCACTTAAGTATTTTCACATTTTTTACACATTTCCATGAACATATGCTAAAGTTATTTTTTAAATGGGGAGTGGTATTTGGGGATTGATTAAATACATTACTTAGCGTGTGTGTGTGTGTCGTGTACACCCATACACATGTATTTGATGTGTGTATATAAATGAGGGGAGGGAGAGAAAATATATAGATACATATATTTCTAATATAAACGTCAAAGAAGATTTTCTTGTACAAACAGGTTTATAGTGGGAAACTGGGATTATTATATGTGCCATTTTGTTAACTATGTCAATCAGAGAAAATGTCATCTTGTTGGTATTAGACGTTAAGCAATTTACGTAACTTTTTTGGTTGATGTTTTAACTTTTGTCCCCTCTTAGACCTTCCCACTGTAGAGGAGCTGATGAAACCTATCAGAATTGATGCCTTTGAGGTCGGTGATTTTGATTTACAACCTGTCAGGTATGAGTTTTTTGGAATGGATTGTGCAGGGTGTTTATTTCTTTATTGTTTTGTCACTGGAAACTTGGGGCATTATTTGTTCTATGTAGCCCTCCCTAGTGAATGATTAATGGTAGCTAGTATGAGTCTACCTGTGAGACACTCCTCTCTTCTTTTAATACTAGTTTCTATCAACTAGTTTATCAAAATTCTTCTAGTGCTAAATTTTTTTTTAAAAAATGGATACTACTAAAATGTTAATACCATTAGGCAGGTAGTCTTAAAGCTTTTCACTGGAAAATAAAATCCCTTCAGCTTTAAATAGCTCAGGGATAGTCAATTCTAATAGTGCGAGGGAACATGAATTTTGTTCTGTATACAAGTCATCCATTTGCTTCTTTTTTAAACCAGTTAGTTTTGCAATTAGTCACAGACCATCTGTGATCTCCCAGAGTGAGTTCTTTGATCACAAGAGTAACAGGCTTTGTGAAAACGTTCCAGCTCCAGCACCTTTTAATGGAAGCTTGTGGGACCTTGCTGTCATTCACCAGCACAGAGTAGCTTGTCACAGTAACCTTGTCGTAAGACAAATGTCACATCCATTATCTCATGAGATGCGCACAATAAGTAGGTCAGGTATCTTTATCCCCATCATTCAAGTGATGAAACTGAGGTCAGCCAACTTAGTGGGGCTCTCACAAGAACTGGATGATGGTAGCTAGCGTTTTTACCACATGCTTACTGTGGGCTTGATATTGTACTGGGTTCTTTACACACTAAATTTCATTTAATCTTACAGCAGCCCCATGAGGTATATTTCATTATCACCTGCATTTCATAGGTGAGAAACTCAGGCCTAAAGAGGTTGAATAAAGTGTTCAAGATCACATGGCCATAACCCAGCAATGCACTTGAATTGTCAGGTCTTTGATCTCCAAGAAATAATTTCTGTGAAAAGCCTGTCATCCAGTCTTGTATTCATTTGTTCATTTGTGTTTTCAACGGACAAGTGTTTGAACCCCATCCTCATCATGAAATCCATTTGCAGTGATTTCTTGGCTTTGTTTGTATTATCTGCGCTAGTTGAGAGAACATCATGCACTGTAACTTACACTAAACCCCATCTACGTGAACGCTAAGCCTAGTATCCTCCACTGACCTGCAGTGCTAGGTAGTGTTTTTACGAGGCTGTCTGATATCATTGCTGTTTGGGGCTACACTTGTGTCACTGAAGGGATTTTTTTTTTCACACGCCTCATGTCTTTGTTGGCATAGCTGACACCATTTTAGTAATGTCAATTCTAAATAGAGATGTTTACATTTTTGTTTAAAAGCTGAAAACAAGTATACTTACATTAAAGGCATAACAATAGTTATAGGAATGTCAGTAGTAGAAACTTGAGTACACATATCCCAAAACTCTTAAACTATAGGATAAGTAATCCTAGCTGCTGTACACATAATCCTTGAAATTTTAGTAATTTAACATCATCAACAGTTTATTTCTTGCTCACATCATAATTCCACGTGTCTCAGTGAAGTTGGGGTGCGACCCTGCTCCACATAGTCATTAGGGACCTAGGCATCTTTCTGTCATCAACACATGGTTTTAAGGCCCTCCTGGCCTCATCAGTCGATAAGGAAAAGAAAAGGAGGGTTAGCATACTTCCTTTTAACTGCCTAAACACAGGAGTGTTACCTCACTTTGGCCCACATTTTGTTGTTAAGAACCATCACATCTAGCTAACAAGGTCCAAGAGGGCTAGGGAGCGTGGTTTGCTCATGTGCCCAGAAAGAAAAGTAAATGCTTCTGGTAGGCATCTAGCCGGTCTCTACCAGAATCTCCCCTTCTAACAACCAAATATCCATTCCACTCTTCCTCAGACAAAGACCTACTCGGCCCCTCCCCAAAGCAAACAGCCCAGAGTCCCATTCAGAACTGGATCCATCTGGAAGGCCAGGCTTTCCAGGTGAAGCACAGTTCTCTTTGCCAGGTTTGAATGTAGCTCCTCGTTGTCTACTAATCAATGAATTAAAAGACAAGTTACTTCCTCACCCCACCTAATATATGATGTGAAACTGTGAGGACACTCCTATCCAGAAATGGAAAGAGTGAGGAAGCTACAGCAATCAGTAGTGCAGCTTGGAGATCCACTGAAAGGCCTTACAGAGACCCCTACCTTCAGATTGGGCAGTTGGGCCTAATCAGGCCATTGTTCTGCTCTTAAGGAGGAACTGCTTTATAAATACATTGTTCCGTGGAGCTCCTGGTTCCAGTAGTCTTCTGTTTCTTTACCACTGGCTTCAGCTGAAGTGGGCGCTGCAGGGGGAGGGCATGCCCATCTTTGAGGATGCACTCTTTTCTCCATGCACTTTCTGCCTGCAGGTAGGTGGTTTTAAGGCTGCCAGCAAGTCTCTAGCCTTTTTTTTTTTCCTTAAAGTAAAGTTGTGGTTTCTTTGTCATCTTTGTCATTACAGTTCCTTCAAAAAGTTTATTAGGCTTCTGATCTATTTCCAGTCAGTTCCGGTCAGTTCTGTGTGCCAGAAATTACATTTAAAGAACACTAGTTTTTGTTGGTTTCTCAGTTTAATTGCAACTTTCTGGTTATTATGAGGAACAATAATCTTAAGTTTGAAGATGACACTTCTAATGTGATATTTTCCAAGGAACTGAGTCACTCTTTTCAACCAAGAATTCTCATGAAATCTTGCTTTTTCTCAATTTCTCAATGCTGAATCTTACTGTTTAAGCCCAGACGCAGAGTGAAACTAAGAGGCCCTGAGTTTCTGGACTCTGTTCCCTTTGTTTCCTTCTTTAAAAACCAGCCTACTCTGTCTTGCTCTCATCTTTTTCCCGTAGTATCTTGTCGAAAGTAGCCAGTAGTAGCCGGCACTTACAGACTTCCTGTCCTCCCCTGCCGTTCACAGGCTCTGCTGAGGACCCCAGACTCAGGAGCCAGTGGTCTGCCTTATAAACTACTGTAGGTGACAGTTTAGCAGATGTTTTGTCACTTTACATAGAACGTGAGTTTGCCACCTCTCCAGCCTCTAATACCAGTTTCCTTGCCACCCAGAACCCAACCACTAAGCCCATGACGCATATTTTAGGTTCTGATCGCAGTAGCACTCACATTCTAAAGGCAGGAACTAGTGATGGTCCGTCTAGATTGAAGGTGGTGAGGAAGGTGGTTTAGTTGGTGCACAGCAAGCATGGGAAACAGTGTTAATGAGTGGCTAGCCAGGTTCTGCTGCCATAAAGAAAGAGCTATTGTATTTTCTGATGATTCCAGCTACTTCTAACAGTTATTTCTAGCAATTATTGAGAAACCAGTCTATCTTACATGAAAATGGTAGCCTCTTAGACTTTCCTTTAATCTTATTTTATAAGTCATAAAATTAGATGACCTAATTGACTGTAGTTAAGTAATTTGAAAATGACAATATCCATATTTTTGGAGCTCCCATAATATGCTGATATTCACCCACAGTTATAACATTTCCTTAAGGGATATTTCTCATATTTTAAAATTTAATGATCTAAAGTGTTACAGTGCATTTAAGTGTTTTAAACTACACAAATAATTTCATTTAAAAATCCTACTGATTTTGTTTTAAGATTTGCCTGTACATGATGGAATTTATGCATTTTAATACTTGTATTTTATGTTTCATTGATATAAATTATCGTTGCTTGTTTAGTTTCTACTGGAAATGTATGAAATGTTTTTCCTACCTCAAATATATGTTGACTTTATAATATGGATAAAAGATATATTACAAAAAATCCATTTAGAAATTCATTTTTTGTTTTTCTTAAACAAAAGCAATCTCAGTCTTACTTGGTTTGGCTTTCCTTTGAAGTAGGTCACTGAGTCAGCATGAAATCCCTTATATTATACTGCATTAAAATTATTATCTGAAATTTAAAACAGTTATGCGACACTATGTGAGTGTATTCTGTTAACCAGGATGGTAAGTAATATATTCAACATTAATGACCTAATTTTAATAGTTACAGATATTCAATATATTTAATAGTATATATATATATATTAATAATATAAATGTGTTTTTACATATATCTCACATGTATACATATATATTAATAAAACTGATATTTGAGGAGTTACATAGTGTTCATTCTCTCTGTCCTATTTTGTTTTATAGCTTTAAGAAATTGGATGAGAATAAAGAAACTGAATTGGCTAGCCCTTTACCCCTGAAGATGAATCCAAATGTTATGTCTCAGGAACCACAAAATGTGAACCAATTTTTGCACAAAAATGAAGAGAATATAGTTTTACAAAAGATAACAAATGAAGATACAGAAAATAATTGTCCAAGAGTAAATACTGTGGAAGAACAAATAGATAAAATGTACCTTGATATTTTGAAGAAAAAAATATCTTTTGGTGACAGATTACCTCAGGATGACAGAATAAATAAGGTAAGTTTTATAATAAATAAGATAAATTTTATAATTTAAATTCATTTGACATATTGATAAATGAAGTTATATACATACTGCTGATAGGTATGTACTTCTTAAGCCAGCTGGATTGATTACAGACTAACTCCACAGGGATCCTGGGTATCCGAGCAGTGTCTGTTACAACACCCTTAGTCCCCAGATTTCAAAATGCCATTGTAGCATTAGTTTTTTTTAGAAACCATTCTTGCATTTTAAATTTTTTAAATAAATGTAGTCCAGAATATGAGTAGCATAAGAAAATTAAGTTTATTCATCATTCTAGTGTTTTTTATTCAGTCTTACCAGTAATCTGTGTTCTGCAGAAGGAGGTGAGTTGGCATTTCATATAAATGCTGTTAGCAGCTGTTGAGAAACTTATTCATCACTGTTCCTTTTTTGTGTGTTCTTGATTTGTTCTGGTTTATGGGTTCCATAACCCCAGTATTCCATTTTTATTTTACAGTTTTGATTTAAGTGTTTACCATAAACTATCTCCAGTTCCTTGTGGAATAACGCAGGGTTCTGATCAGTTTTTACCTTAAGAAATCTGGAGAAAAAAGATAAGATTTTAAGTCATTTCAAACTTCCCAGGTCCATTCTCGCAATTATGTCTTGCTTTCTGGCAAGCCTATTTTGTTTTATTACTTTGCTTTGTTTTACTTCTGACTTTGAAGATGTGCTTCAGAATACTAAAATTCTGATGAATTAGCCTTGGAGACCTTTAATTCAATGTCATGGCTTGCCTTCTATGAACTGTGTTCTTCAATAATCGCTATGGTTTTGCAGTCTGTTAAATCTTACAATTGTAGTTGAAATTTGTTTAAGTATTAAAAGTTTATACTTGTACGCAGACTCTTAGGTCTCAGCTGAGTTCTGGAGAAGAAGGGGCTGGGATTGGTACACAGCTACCACACAAGAAGGCCAGGAGTGCCCCTCCTTTATTTAAAAGAAAACCCCAGAGTGGATTATATGCATCAGTTAGGAGCTCAGGCTACGGCAAACCCAGTTCACCATTCAAGACATTTTCTAATCTTGAAAAGAAAACTTCAAAGGACATTATGAAAAGCAAAAACTTGAGATCTATCCCTGCCTCAAATCAAGCTAGGAAAAAAGGTAATTATATGCACTTCATAATAAAATTCTGTACGTACAATGTATTATTCCATCTTCCTTATTCTCTACTTTCCCTGTTTTCCCTCTCTCCTTCTGTGAACTTTCCTTATTCATAGAAAAAAATTAATCTTAAGGTACTACATTCCATTTCTGAAAGATGGATTTTCAGCTCTGGAGGTTTTTCAGTGTTAGTTCTAGGTTTTCCTGAATGAGACCCAGAAAGTATGGGATGTGACAATAAGATAGGAGAGAGTCAAACCCCTCCTCATCTGGTTGGCTTTGTGGTACCTGAAATGTTTGCCAGAAAAGAGCTGTAAGTTTAGAATGCAAAGGGCAACATGCAAATGAAGGCTGATATAGAGGGAAATACCTGGATATGAGTTGGTCTAGTGTCGGAGAGTCCGGTGGTTTTACAAATCACATGCGTGCGCTTATACATCACAGGGCCTCTCTTAGTTATTTCCTGGTGGAGTCATTATCTTGGCGGTAGGAAAGAGTGGTTTCCCGTGTAAAAGCCCATGCCTCTCTTAAGAGAAATAGAAATGTTCAAGTCAGACCAACATCTCTGTTGCCCTTAGACTCCAGTGGGGCAGGGAGAGCAGTAGAACCAGAAGCGTTTTGTCCTTTCCTTTGTGATTGAATCGAATAGGAGACCAGTTCCATCACTGCTGTCTGCTGTGATAGAGGAGAACTAACCTCATTGGAAAATTCATTTCTAGCTTAAAGTGTCTCCCTTTCCTTTCCCTACAGCAGTCAATTCCAGGAGCAGGACTCTATTAAAATTCTTTCAGCATTAGAGACTCTCCTCTTCTCTCTGTGTGGTTGTGTGTTCGCTGCAGCAGCCTATCCATCCATGTCAGATGGGAAGGGCTCACCTCTGTCAGAGTGTAAGAGAACAGCAGGAGGGGCTGGTTATTCCGAACAGACAGGACTTAGATTCTGTTGGCTTAATACCAGCATCCTTTCCTCTTGTTCTTAACATAGGGACCCCTGATCCCTTCCCCTAAGAAGTGTCTTGTTCACTTATTTTCTCTCACTTTTTTGTGGAACATCTACTTGTGCTGTTGTCATCTGTTCATTGTTATTAATAACTAACCATCCATTGGATCTAGTGCTTAATGTTAAGAAAAAGCACTCAACGTTTCCCAAATTTAAGAATCATCAAGAGGGTGTGTGAAAGTTTTTCATTAATGTTTTAGGAGTATTCATTCTGTCTGTACTTTTGAGAGCAAGAGAATGAAATTTTGTTTTAATATTATCATATTTATTTTAGATAAACTAACCCCCAACATTTTTGAAGTTTACTTTATCCAAATTCATTCATGTAACAAATATTTTTGAGTACTGACCTTGATCTAGGCAGTGTTGGAGGCCTTCTAGGTACACTGGTAAACAAAAAAGGCAGCGACACCTCCCCTCCCCCATCTTGTGGAGCTGTCATCTGATGAGAGAGAGACATTTAACAACAAGCATAATAAGTCAGTAAATGATGCTGTGTACTAGGAGAAACAGAAAGCAGAGCAAGAGTGTCAGCGGTGGAGTCCAGCAGGTCGCCATTTGACATAAGATAGAGTGGTCCTCAGTGAGAGAGAGCCCTTTGAACGAAGACTTGTAGGAAGAATCAGAATTGGCTGTGTGGTTGTGTAGGGGAAGCATATTTCCGAAAAATGAAACAGTCAGTGCAAAAGTCCAAAGAGGGAGGAATGCCTGTCATTTCAGGGATCAGCCTAGAAGCCGTTGTGGCTGGGGCAGAGTGGGCAGAGAGGGCAGGAGGAGGAGGTGAGATCGGGCATCACAGGGACAGGCACGGCAGGCTGTCTAGGGCATTAGCAGCCTTGGGGTCTCACTCTCAGTGTGGAGAGGTGAGCCGCTGGCAAGTTGTGAGCATGGGAGTGGCTTCATCTGACTTACCCTTCAGACAGATTCCTCTGGCTGATGTCCTTGACCGTATGCAAACAAATATGGACCCACACCATAAGGGCACAGGGAGAAGCACAGAGACCAGTTAAAAGGGGGTTTTAGGAATCCAGGCTGGGAGTGATGGGGCTCAATCCAGGGTGGTGGCAGTGGTGGTAATGAGAAGCAGTTGGATGGGGATATATTTAGAAGATGGAGCCAGAAGTCTAAAAGATTGGTTTGAGGTTGTGAGGGAGGAGTCATAGATGATGGCAGGGTTTTTGGCTTGAGCAAATGAAAGAATGTGGTTCCTCTCCAGCTGGGATAGAAAGTGAGGTAGAGTGGTTTTGGGGGTGGAGAGAAGATCAGGAGTTGAGTTGCTGAGGTGATGTTTTTGAGATGCCTGTTCTGCATGCAAATGGAGTTGGCAAGGAGGCAGTTGGAAAGAAGAGTCTAGAGTTGAGAGAGAGATGTGGACTGTAGGTATCAAATGTTGTTAAAAATGAATATTTTTGAAGCCATGGGTTCTTTTTAATTGAATATAATTGATTTGCGGTATTGTGTTAGTTTCAGGAGTACAGCAAAGTGAATTGGTTTTTTGCAGATTATATTCTGTTATAGGTTATTGCAAGATATTGGGTAGAATTCTCCGTGCTGTACAGTGAATCCTTGTTGCTTGTCTATTTTATGTACAGTAGTTTGTATCCATTAATCCCATACCCTTAATTTGTCCTTCCCCCCGCCTCCCCTTGGTAACCACAGGTCTGTTTTCTGTGTCTATGAGTCTTTCTGCTTTCATATATATTCATTTGTATTATTTTTGAGATAGCACAGATAAGTGATATATAGTATTTGTCGTTCTCCGTCAGACTTACTTCATTACATGCGATATTCTCTGAGACTGACAAAGATTATCAAGGGAGCATATACAGAGAGAAAAAGCAAACCAAGGCCTGAGCCCTGGGCGTGCTGACCTAAAGAGGTCAGGAGGAAGAGGAGTAACGTGCAAGGACAGAGCAAGGCTGGAGGAAACCTGAGTATGTGCACTCCTGAAGCCAAGGGGAGAGAGTATATAAAGGAGAGTTGATCTGCTCTATCTGTTGCTGCTGAGAGAAAGAAAATGAGGACTGACAGCTGACCTTTGGGTTTAGCAAGAAGGAGGCCATCGGCATTGGACAAGCAATTTCCGTGGGGAGGTGACTCTGAAAGGCAAATTGAGTGGGAACAGGAGAAGTGGAACTGGCTACTTTAAGATACAGACAGCCCTGGAGGAAAGGGTGTAAAAGGTGGGGGGGGAAATGGGGCAGTAGCTGGCAGGAGGGTGGAGTCAGGGGAAGTCTTTTGTTTTGCTTTGTCTTGATTTTAATGAGAGAAATCACGGTATGAGTGAATAACAGTATGTTTATGCTTTTTGGAAAGATGCAGTAGACAGGAAGCAATGCGTGATGGGAGGGGAGAGTTGTAGAGCAGTGTCCTCGAGTAGAGGGGCTGTAACAGGGTCCAGTGCACACTGGGAGAGTTGGCTTCAGATGGAAACGTGGACAGTTCACCTGTGGAAAAGCAGAGAGGAGGAGGGAAGAGGTGGGTCCGGATACTGGTAGGGGTAGAAGTGGTGAGAGATGGGGGTGAGTTCCTTTGATTGCCTCCACTTCCTCTGAGAAGTAAAACGTGCTGTGATGAGGTGGCAGTGAGGATGGGGCCGGGGTGCTGGAGAAGAGCAGACATTAAAGAGCTCTCCTGGGGGGCTGGACTCCCAGCAGCAAGAAGAGTCTGCTCGAAGTTGTGACCATGAATGTGAGTTGAGACCAGGCAGGCAGGAGGTGTGTGTGTTAATCTGTGTGCACAGCCACTTTCTCCCACACGACTGCAGGTGTTAGGTAGCTGTGTAGTTGGATTTACCGAGAGAAGTGGTTTTACCAAATGAGTGCAGTGAACTGAGAGAGACTGAGATTCAGGAGTGATTGCATTACTGGTAACAGAAAAAGACCTAGAAAGCCAGTGGGGGAGAGCAGCTGGGGCAGAGAAATGCATACAGGGAGGGAGTTGAAAGGATCTCTGGTGAGTAGTTGGAAATTGCTAAGAGTGAAGCCAGAAGTCAGGTCACAGTGGGTAGAAACGAGGGGGATGGCATAGAGGTTGATGGACGAAGGCAACGATATTTTTATGAGTATTTTCCCTAATTTCAAAATTTCATAGTGTTTGTGATTGCCAAAATTAACATGAATTTTTAAAATTCATATTAAAGTACAGTGACAAACTATGATTGTCTGTTTTTGTACTGAGCTACTTTTTTCTCATTAGACCCTCTGTTAAGTAGGATTTTTTTTTTAAATCTCTGTCTTTTTGTTGGAAAATTGCCCAGAGTAATTTTAGTTTTATTCCAAAGAACTGGAATTTCTTGGGGGTGGTTGTTACCTGTCGTAGGTTGGGTGTCAGAGAAGCAGCCTCTGAGTCGGAGGTGAGAGTACAGAAAGTCTAGAGAACGTGCTTGGCATCAGCACTGGTTCCGAGGAAGCAGCCCCCACCCCCCCCCACCCCCACCATGACTGCGGCTGATGCATTTCAAAGGCTTCTCTTTTTCACGTAACCAGGAAGGCAGAGCCAGTCAGTTCTAAGCTGGTGCACCTGTGCAAGGAAACAAACCTCCTTATTTCCTCCTGCAAAATCCCTAGTCTGTGACTTTAGTCTTCCTTGTCACCAGACAGCTACACAACCTCCAGCCTTTCAGGAGGAGGAGAGGTGGGACGTCAAAGGTGCATGCCAGTAAATTCAGCAGCTTAATCAGAAAAGGTAGTCGCTTTCCTGGAAGCCCTGTATTGGAATCTTTTGCTTTCATCTTATTGGTCAGAACTTTGATCCTGTACCTCTGCCCCCGAACCCCATCTCAATTGCATGGAGTCCAGGGAAATGGGTGGTTTTAACTGGCACATTGCTGCCCGGGGCAAAGTTAGGTGTCTTTTAGTGGGGAGGAAGAGGAGATTGGCAGCTAGCAGTGTCTGCCATGTGGTGATTTTCCTTTTTATTCTAAAGTTAATTTTCTTTGGCTGTCGACTCTTGTGTTTTTATTTTTAGATTAGGAAGTTTATTGTCACAAAAGGAATAGTTGCTCATTATTTAAATTCAAAAATACAGAAAAGTAAAAAGGAAGCAATAATTTAGCCAGAAACAGCTGGTGTCATACTGGTGGCCTCATTCCGTGCCTCTCCTGTGTGTGTCCACATGCAGATGGGAGGAAGCGGGGATGAGAGCTGGAAGGAAGGAGAAAGGCAGATACGTGGACAAATAAAAATGGACAAAACATTTTGTAAGAACAGATCACACTTTATCAGTTCTTTTAAATAAAATATTAGATTTTGTTTTACTTAAATCTCTAAGAAGAAAAAGAAACTTCATCCTGAGGAATGTTACATCCCAAAAGATCCCTTCAACAAAATAAATTATAAAAACCCCTGAAAGATTGCCAAAACCATGTTATTTTTAACTGCATTTTCCAATTTTTATATGTTATCAATTTTCCCTTCTATTAAATATGTAGTAAAACTCTTACATCCCCCATCCCATGCCTCCTACCCATTTTTGTTGGCTTTATTTCTAATAAATATAGTGTATATTATAGTATAGGATATGGGTTACATATCCTGTTATACATGTTATATTTATATATAATTATATTATTTATAATCAACATATTTATTATATTCTCTCCAGCAGCTGTAATTCCCTTCAGCTTTTGAATGTGGATCTTGGTTCTGGTTATTACAGAGTCCGAATGCTTTTCCCCAGTCCCTTAGCCATCACTTCTCCATTCTGGAATTATTTTGATTGCCTTATTATTTGACTGAATTTTTTGAATCCATTGTTTTTTTTAAGAAGGGTTCAGAAGTCTCAGTGTTTTCATGTTTGAATTTTATATCCAAGCAACTTTTCTTTCCTGTATAAAGGGGAAAGATACTGTCCATGTACTATTACTGAAAATAACAACTTAGAGAAGTCAAAATTAAGAACTCCAGGAGGGAGAATTCTGGGGTAAAAGCACTGGCTGACTGCAGCTGGAGCAAGAACCACCTGCCACATTCTTGGCTGCCCTGTGCTAGGGAGAATCACAGTGCTGGCAGGTCTGACCCCTTCACTGGCCACATTAATGGACCTCCAGTGACTTGGAAGGATTAATTCCTGCTTTTACAATGACTCAAACAGGTCCTTTATGAATGCTTTAAGAGATTCCTCTAGAAAACCTTCTACATCAAACTGTCCAATTAAATATGGTTACTACTCTATAAGGAAAACCTGGGGAAGATTAGAAGGAACTGTTGGGTGAAGTACTGTTGGGGGCACTTGTTTCTTCTTCTGACTTTTCTGTATTTTCCAAATCTTCAAGAACCATGTATTTCCCTTTTAACAAAAAAGTAAACTTTGCATTTAAAAAGCTAACATTTAAAGAAATTATATGAAAAATATTGATTTTTAATTCTTCATTTCCCTCTAAGGCGATCAGATAAATGTTCACTGGGGGTTCAGTTCAGAACCTGTAGTGTTTGAATATGGGCCTTGAGAGCTCTTTTAGGTATTTCCCATAAGCTTTTTTTTTTTTTGTATTATTAACTGAATAATTTATTGGCCTTAGAACTATTTCTGCTGTTTGGGGATTTATGAGGTACCTTAAAAGCTAAAAAGTTGACCAAAATATATATATGAATAACATTGTTTCTAACGTAATGTATAATATCACAGTATTAGAGCAGTAATACCATTTATTTTGTAATCAAACTTAAACTAGTTGTTATAAAGTTTCCATGCAATTTATATGATTCCATTGACACTATATCTTGACATGCATTATATAGAAAACTGTGCTTTGAAAGCACACTTAATCTGAACTAAAATGCTTCATAAAGTTATCAGCTTCTCTTTGATTCATCTTTTAGATATTTTTAGTTGTTATTGCTATGAACATTTAAAAGAGTAATTTATTTAAAAGGGATAAAAGCTGAAATTACCCCAGTCCACATTCTCCTTACATTTATTTAGCTCCACTTGTCATTTGACGTGGACCGTGGGTCAGTCGGCCTCTGTGTCAGGTGGAGTAGAATGCCGATTCCAGGCAGCGGTTCTGAGCGCGGGGGGACAGCTGTGTGAGGGTGTTTGTTTGGTGTGTATCAGCCTGTTTTGAGATCCTCGCTTGTCTTAGTGTCCCCGTGTATTACTACTTCTGGTTACGTAATTGCTGAATACACATTCAACTTAGTTTGTATTTGTGGTGCTTTTATCCATTGTTTACAATATTTAGAAATCTTATCTGGAACAAGACTCATCAAGCCTGCAGCTGTGGGTAACCCAGCTTCCCCCAGGGAACGTGGCGTGGCTACCCCTGAGAAGTCTGAGGGCCCTGCAGAAACGGATTCCTGTGTTCAGTTTCCGAAGGTAGGTATTGAATTTCAAACTAATATTCATAATGTTTTCATGATCTATAATTATATATTGAAACTAGAGTATAAATAATGAAATATATGAAATTTCTTCTGCATTGAGTAATACTCCAATCACTCACTCTTACTGAACATGCATTGATTTTCTTGTGTAGTAGAACATTGTTAACCATGTCATTTTCATCCTTGGTGGGGTTTTTTTCCCAACTACTTGTGTGCAAATCTAACGTTAACTCTACGTAATGAAGCAATGCTTTTCCTTAAAAGGATTCTTCAGGATACGGTGGTGGGAACAAGGAAGCAGAACTGACTATGTTTGAAAGAGTTCAGGAAGCAGAGGGAAGATGGAGAGGGGCACAAGCCCTCATTGAGCAAATCAAAGTCACATTCTCAGAAAAAGAGAGAGAGCTGGAAAATAAGATGGAGGAACTAAAGAGACAGCAGGAAAAGGAACTCTTCAAACTGAATCAAGACAATTACATTCTTCAAGCCAAGGTACTAGACGCTTTGTCCTATTTTTCCTTTTATTTATGAAAAAAGAACTTGTACTTCCCGTGAAATGCATTGTCATCCTCTGTCCCTGCAGCTCTTTGACTTGATGTATTTGCTGAATCAAACATCAACATGTTTCCAGAGAGTGCCTCCTTCCCCTGGGCGGGTATCAGAATTTAAATTGGCTCATTTTGATTGTTCTCTTGTTAGCAGCCCGTTTTGAAAACAAATCCCTTGGTTCACAGTGACCTTCAAGGAAGACAAAGTTTCAGAAAAATTGCTATAGAAGGTCTAAGTTCAGAGAATGACACTGGGTAGCATTTCTGAGTTAATTCCATCATCAGAACCATCAGCACAGAACATCCTGTAATGATTTAACTGTGCCTGGTGTTACCTTAATTCCAGTGTGGTTATAAGGCAGTTTTAGGTCTGTGCACCTTGGTTTTCTTTTGTTCTTCCTTACTTCATCATTTCCTTTCCCAAATAAAACAATTTCTGCATTTTCTCAAAGTTAAATAGCTTTGAAGAATCAAACAAAAAACAAAGGTGGTTGCATTTGGGGGAAACATCTGATCCTGTCACCGAAGAAAAATTGAAGCAAATCCAAAAAGAAATAGAAGAACAAGAGACACTTCTTCAGGGATATCAACAGGTAACAGTTCTTCAACACATAATGAGTTTGTTATGAGATCCTTTGGTTGTAAACATAAGGCATTTAGAAATATTTGTGTCCATTTAACAGGTAGTGGGAATTCTGCCATTGTGAGGAAGTAATGATTTGGCTGGTCTGCACATTTATCATGAGCAAAATTAAAGTGGTTAAGAGCATGGGTTCTGGATTCAAAAAATCTGGTTTTAGGCTTTGCTTCACTACCTGCTGTGCAGCATTAGGCAAATCATATTCCCTCTCTAAGCCAGTTTCCCCATCTGTGAAATGGGAATGAGAATGACAGTACCTGTCTCGGAAGATGGTTGTGCAATTAAAACGAGACAGCGCAGACCAACCTTAGTGCCTTCCACACAGTAACCAGTTAATGAATGTTGCCTGTTACTAATTTTAATAGCCATATTTCCTTAGAAACTGTCCTATTTTTCTTTCATTTTCTATAATGTTTTTCAGTAGATAATATTGGCTAGTTTCGACATTATATTCAGAAATATGAATCTGAAATCAGTTGCCAGTGCCCTGAGATTGAAAAATATTTGACTTAAGTGGAAGAAAATGTCTGTGTCCTATAGTCAGACATCTGTTCTGTGTGATGGCATCTTGGTGACATTGATCTGACAGGCAGGACAGGTTTGGTGATCTCCAACATGAGACTTCATCTTCGTCTCTCTCCCCTTTTTTTCTTTAACTTCCCTCCCCTTCCCCTTCTGTCTCATTACCTTTCTCTCTTTTGACAACAGTAAAAGCCTACCAATAAAAAGCATTTTCACTCCAGGGTCATCCAGAGAAGGCATTACCGCATCAGAGATGACAGCGTTCACTATAAAAGAAATAGTACTGATTTTGCAGGACGCTCTGCCCTAGAGTTAGTGAGAACCTTTCAGACCCTCTGCTTGCCATTCAGAGCTTGCCGTGTAGAGCATGCATTTTAAGGAGGGTTTCACAGACCCATAAGTATGCCAACCCCCCACCACACACACACACAAAAAATCCCACAAAATTTGTGTATCAACATATGTACGTATTTTTCTGGATTTCATGAATTCTGCAGAGAATTAAGCACAGACTATCTGCCAAGCATTAGGCCAGACACAGTGAGACAGTTCAGAATTTATATTAGATCCAGAAAGTTCTTTGGTTTTCATCAGATTCTTAATTTTAAAGAGGTTAATAAGCCAGAGCATCTAACAAGCACAGAGTGGGACTGATCTCGCTGTCTGAGTCCCCTTTTAGCTCAGGCCAGGTGCTGAACTGGGTCTAGTCTTGCTCTGCCTTGTTCCTGATCTTCCAGAAACACCTAGTCTCTAACTCCCTGCTCACAGTTCCAGAAACAAGCATGGTTACCCTCTGTGGCTCCCTCCAGTTACCTCACCACAGAAAGATGGGCCAAAAACAGAAAAAAAAAAAAGAATGTACAAACAGTCCCGCTGGCCTTCCCATCCCTTATACGCAAAGTCGGGACATAGTTACTCCTGCGGTCACTCGCCCACTTACACCTGTGAAATGGAATACATTATACTGACAGGCTCTTTGGCTTTGGGAATTTTTGCAACTTTTTTTTCCAACTAAGCATTTTGAGCATTTTGGAAAGAATTGTTTTTAGCTAACAAATTTTCTTCCAAGATAATCAAAAGATTTTTGAAAAAGATTTGAAGGCTTACTCAAAAATTGAAGAAATTTAATAAAAGACTTTTAAAATGTTTAAAGGATGTATCTTTTATGAGTACATACATTAATATTATATAGGTACTACTGACTTTTAACTAAAATGTAATTTTTTATTTACAAAAAGGAAAATGAAAAATTGTATAATCAAGTGAAAGATCTTCAAGAACAAAACAAGAAAAATGAGGAGCGAATGTTCAAGGAAAACCAGAGCTTATTCAGCGAATTAGCTTCCTTAAAGTAAGTCCTTTTTAAATTCTTAAAATCAAATCAATTCTTTCTAAGCACTTTATTGTTATATTAATAATACATTTAGTTATACCTAGAAATTTTTAAAATTATACACTGGTTTACAGTTCTACAGCTTTCATATTTTTAATTTTCAATGGATTTTCTTTTGGCATTAGATGACTAGTACACACTTCAGTATTTTCAGCATATTCACATTTGAATTTGACCTCAGTTTTAGGAAATTGAACAGTCCTCGTGATCAGTCATTAAGCCTGAGATACTTATGTAATGCATCTCAGTAATGATGCTTTTAGTAATAATAGTAAAATATATATACAGTATTATTTACTGTCTTAGGTCAGGTTCCGAATAAGTAGAGCCTGATCTGGGGGTCCTTGTGGAGGTGATTTCCTGGAGGATAACTCTTAGAAGAAGGGGCAGGAGAAGCAAGATGTAGGGGTGGGGAAGGCTAGTAGGACCATGGTCTCAGCCAGAGGCTGGCTTCATTCTTCTCTCACCAGGAAGCTCAGAAGAACAGACTGCACCCCAGAGTTGGTCCCCAGTTGAGGCAGGTGGGGGAAAGCCATTTGTGCCCCACAGCTAGTCAGTCCCCAGCTGAAGTGTGCCCCACGAAGTGGGTGGCGGGTATCCTCTGGGCGGGGGCCGGGGCTGCTGTTTGGCAAGTGCGTTTCTCCAGAGAAGGAGAGCCTGTGAGTTGTGAGAACCAGCACTCACTGTGACAGGCTGGCAGAGCACCAGCACCTACTTAGGAATCATACTTCACACTATAAGGTCTTTTGGATGTTATTACATCCATCTTTAATACGTTAAGTGAAGGAGCTTAGCCAACAAACATGGGCAAGTTAGGGTCCTGTCTTTTAGGAAGTAACTAATCATTTCACCTAAATACTCAAATAGGACGGCTGTCAGAAGAAACTTCTTCGGCTGTGAATGTCATGTGTGTTACATTTATTCACATATTTCTTCCATTTTTTTGTAAGATAACTTAGGCGTAAGAGGCAGGGCTGCTGTTAGCTCACACTAATCTTTCATGTAAAATAGAAAAAAGCACACATATACAGACAAAGCTAGAAAGTACACAAGTTGGCAAGCAAGGGCACTTCTGTGTAAATTAGGAGGGGAAAAGCTCCTCTCCCTGGGCCAAGGCTAATAAACCAATACTCTCAGGGTTTCCATTCTTTTAGATTACACATAAACTCCTCTTTTAGTATTTTAGTATTTTATTCTTTAGAGTAAATAAAATTTTTATCTTCGGTGACTCACAGAGTTCCACTGTGCATTAGTTTTTAATTTTTAAGAATGGAATATTTTATATTGAAAGGAGTACCTTGTAAAAAAATTTTTTTTTTCAAAATAAATCAGAGAACAGATGCACAAAAGCCATTTCCTCTCTCAAGCACTGGAAGGTGCAGAACCCACCCAAAACCAGAATTTTACAGATCTGTTAGCAGAACTACGGGTGGCACAGGTAAGTTGCATAAGAATTTTAACTATTAATGATAGTGAAGATTATTATAAAAATCCCCATATGTGTAAAAAAAATATGTTTTTGTAATTATGAATAAATAAAATCCATTTGTAAATTCCATGCCTTTTAAAAATTAAGAAATACCTAAGATGAGCATTTGGCATACATGTGACCTTAATATAGAGGCAGCAGTGTAATACCGGATTTAGATGGCTTCCTCTTTGTAATCCAGCCTCTTACCAGGCATTTATCACATGCCTGGCATATTAGAGACATAACCTTATCTGGGGATGTATGCCTGACTTCAAATTCATCATTGGAAATGTACAGCTAAAATGGGAGAATAATCTGAAGATGACTGTTCAGCTTAAAAAGTTGATTGGCTTTTTCCCTGTCTTCCTAAGTAGACTGTGCACTTCTAGGGGGCAGAGACTATAGCTGCAAATACTTGTATATGATGTGCCTAACACAAAGGTAAAATGTGTAACTTTTTTCTTTATTTTTATTAATTTGTGTTGTAGAGAATATAGCCGAGAACTTTCTAAAGTAGTATTTATCAATGAGAGAAGCTCTGAAATTTAGGGCAGATTAATTCTATCTTAAGCAGAACAGTTCTATGAATTGCATGATTTTTATCATCCCTGTCCCCAGGAACTATGGTCATAGCACCCACCAGTCATTGTAGCACTTAGAACCACTGCCGCGTTTCTAGACATCCCCTGTGGGAAGGCAGTTAAGTCTCCACTCCCTCCCATAAAGAACCATAGCACTAAACTAAAAAGCCTTTTCAATCTATTTGATTGATTACGTAAATTAGAAAAATTCCAGTTACATAGCACTTTTTAAATAGAAATTCATTATATAAAGTTTAGGTTACACAGAAATTTAAACATGCTATAATTTAATAATTGACGTTTAACAGGTTTTTGTAGTATATAAAATGCAGCTTCAAATATGAACCCATTAGAGAAGTTTCTTCAGCTGCATGTATGTATTGAATGATTAGATAGCCAGGCAGATAGGTAGAATGGATGATTGGGCTCCCCCACCTATCAGTAGGCCTCAAAATTGAGTGAGTTAAAAGAGAAATTAATATTGCTGTGGTTCATGAAGGCTTGGGAAAACACGGTAAGGCTTTAAGCATAGGATTAGTTTCATTTGAAGGCTGTTTTTATTGACCTTTTAAAAGTGCTGTTTTGAACACATTTTTCTGACAAGTAGGAAACTAACACTGCCACTGAAATCACTGGAAAACGCCAGATAAAATATAATAAACATCATGTAAATGCATAACTCACACGCATACTTCTCTCCAGAAAGTAAAGAGAATCTCGGGGGGTCAGAAGTGGACAGGCATACAAACCTAACGGTAAGCATCTGCTCCTAGGCTGCCAGTGCAGTAACCGTGGGGCTGGGCTCTAACAGCAAAGTGCAGACGGGGCCCCGGGACTTCAGAGGGCCACATCCTTCAGTAAAACAGTGGACTAGGAAAGAATCCACCCATCTTCAAAAGGGGCTGAGACGTCAAGGAAGCTTATTTGTCTTAACTTGATCTCTAGATAGAGAAGAGGCAAAGTCTCCTTTGCTCAGTACTTTACTGGTTGTTCAGTTTAAATGTCATCCCTTCTGCCTTCATTTGTGTTTTAATATTTGAAATGACTACCGGTTAGGGTTGGTTATGCTCAAACTGAAAAAAAAATACCATAAACTGTGGTCCTAAGTCAGTTATCTCTAGTGTGTCTAGAAGAAATAAGTGCAAACCAATTCTTAGAGGTGTCTGCCTTCAACCCAGCTCACACAGTGTCCCTACTCCTGCTGACCGTACGTTCACAATGCAGAATCTAATTACAAAACCCAGAGAAACAAGCCCGCATGAGCAGGCATGGGGTGATTTAATAAACAGCAGGGTTAGAACCCCAATGGAATTACTGAATAGACTATGAAATAAATAGACTTAAAATGATTAAATATAGAAAATAAATAAGGAACATGTGAGGAAAGAACAAAATAGACCAGGAAAATTCAGAAAAAAATCAACAGTTCTGGAAATAAAATATATTCCTGGAAAGTAAAAAATAAATAGAAAAGTTAAATAGATGATCATACACAACTAAGAAGAAATTGGTAAACTAGAAGATAGATCTAAGGAGTTTAAAGTGAAACAGAAAAATAGAGAAATGGAAAATAGAAATGTG